AGTACGATTCAATTGCTTCAGATTCAAAAATTATTGTCTCATCTGCTTGATGAATCGATCTCATATATTCTTGTGTTTGAACTCTTCTAAGAAAAAAGACAATGTCACCTGGTCACTTGCCATCCTCATAGTAACATTTATCCACCAAATTCTTGCTTGCCCACGAAGCAAGGAGACCACTCTATTTAACTTCTCCACATGAGAATAGTGGGGTCCATCTAATATGATCTTCACATCATTGAGCCAAAGGTCCACAACAACAAGACCTTTTTCGGCTTTACCTTTAAATTTTGAAGCTCCTAATCCCTTTAACTCATTCGCAATATTCATTCTCTAAGTTAAAGAGACAAGAAGTTGAAATCACGTCAAGATGGCATCCAACGTCCTAAAGAAAATATATTGATCTCCTACAGGTACTCCAGAAGGTATATGTTCTTCACATTGCCTGGCCAGGGTAGGTAAATTACTACTCTTGGATGACCTATCTTCTCTTGCTTTACTTCGACAGCTATCATTCACAATATTCATTCTTTAAGTTGAAGAGACAAGAAGTTGAAATCGCGTCAAGATGGCGTCCAACCTCCTAAAAAAATATCTTGATCTCCTACAGGTACTCCAGAAGGTGTATGTTCTTCACCTTGCCTGGCCAGGGTAGGTAAATTACTACTCTTGGCTGACCTATCTTCTCTCGCTGTACTTCGGCAGCTATCATGTCTAGACATCTAATAATATATAACCATATAGTTCTATTAACAAAATATCATACTCATTACCCTATCAGATCAGAAGTTCTTACTATTCTGTTGGCATGTATACATTTAAAGACATTCTAGACTTTGATTTATGCCTAGAATTGGCTAAACCATAGCTCTGATAACATTAAATGTAACACCCCAACCCGTACCCGACCCGGATACGAATCTGAGGTGTCACATTGACTATTCAAAACCTTTAAAACATATAAAAATCATGAAAATTCAAACTTTCATTAAAATAAAGTTAATAATTTACATAAGTATATTCAACACATTACAAAAACCGATCAGAGCATATGTAAATCCACATTTGTTTACATGTCAACACCTTTGATACAACAAAATAAATAATGTGTAATTTACTTCTGATCTGATATCTAGTGGCAGTATGATGTTCTGCAGGTCTTAAGCCTGGTCCTCTTGCTTCTCAATACCTAGGTGTAAAACGCTTACACACTAAGTCATACACTTAGTGAGGCATAAATACAATAATGCATGAACATGTAATTTAATTATTTTATTTATCATAACAATTATCAATTCACTATTTAATCATCTCACATATGATCTATCCGTAACAAATAATAACATAATATCTTATAAGAAAGTAAACTCTTTTATATATTTTATGTGCCCATGTATATTATAAAGAACTGAAGGTATGTGAGTACTTTGAGGTTTTGTACATATGATGTGACCACAGCTCGTATAATTCCCACTTAGTGGCATATGAAATTTGTCCCGAAGGACATATATAACTCTCTACTCTTGGCATGCCAACTATACCTGTAGCTCTCATATCACATAACATGGACTTGAATGTTTATATGTTCTATATAATCATTAATCCATCATATGTTCATGTACTCATATCATTTCTCTTGTAATCATATATGTTTTATCTCATATCACATATCACATGTACATATCACCATCAATCTCATACCATGGAGCTTATGTTATTAAATTATATTCACATATGTCATATATCATGTACCGAAAAATATACACATATAATATTGTATGTGTTTATAATGATCATCATATATGTATGTTCATAACTATTGGACCATGAATGTTAACATAGGAAATAAACTTATCACAAGTTTTATTTCCATAATACTACATCTATAGTATGCACTCACCTTAGCCTTACTTGATCCCAATCACTTTTATAACTTAATTTCTCTTTCTTGATCGTTCCTAACTTTTCGGTCGTTCCAGAACTTGCTTGTGCTCGATATCTACACAATCATACATTTATATACATATCAACATTCCAAATACCATGATTCGATCCTTAATTTCTTAAGCTAAAAGAAATGATTAATTCCATTTTCCACTTAGAGTAATATCGGTACCTAAAGTATGGTACCGATACTTCCCTAACTGTTGTATCGATACCAAGCCTAGGTATCGATACCCATTTTTGATTATGTAATCCTTATTTCAAAAATGGTATCGATACCTTACCTACAGTATCGGTACCCTAGGTATCGATACTACCCTTGTTGCATCGATACCCCTTGAATAACTTATCAAATTTTGACTTATGGTATCGATATTGTTCAACCAGTATCGATACCCCTATACCAAATATCACTCTTTTACCCTTGAAGTATCGGTACTTGATGAAGCAGTACTGATACTCATAGCCCAGAATTCACTTTTTAAACCTGAAAATTCACCAATGCCAATCTAAACCTTTTATTTTAAGCTCCTATCGTGCCATTAAACTCAATTACCCTTACTCAAATCAACTTATGTTCATATAAACCATAATTATCTTCAAAATCTCATCATATATCTTTAAATCAAAAATCCTACAAATTTCCCAACATGATTTGATATCAATTCTAACACTTCATACTTCTTAATTTAGCTGATGACAAGTCAAATTTAGTTTCAAACTTAACTTACTAATTATTTTCCTTGATTTCACTTATAAACCTCTCATCTTTAATCCTCCCTTACTACTTCATCTTATAATTTTAAGACAACTTAAGCTTTCCTTAGGCTTAAGTATCATCTAAGGATCATAAACCAAACTTAAATTCAATCCAAAATAAACTCACAAGAAAACTCACATTTGCTATGGTAACTCACGACTGAAAGAAGAAGAGAGTTCTCTGGATATTTCTTTTCCCTTTTTCCTTCAAATCCACGTGTATATATCTTCACCATATCAAAATTTTAATTCATTAATTGATCAAATGACCACTTTTCCCTTTTATTCATCATTCTTTATTATTTAGTCCTACACAAAATTTTCTATATAAGTCTCTAAACTATTCAATTTATCTACTTTAGTTACTAAATTCTAAAGTTTTACAATTTGGTCACTAGCCCGGTGTTGATGATGTTACAGTACAGGTTGGGGGTGTTACACATGGAGTGTAAAAAAAATAAAAGGTGGTGTCAAGATCGACCATGGAAGCTGGGTATCGAAGCCTCGTGGATGCAGCAGCATAGATGGCATGGGTTGATGCCTTTCTCACTGATTTTAAGGTGCCACAGTATAAGCAGCCAACAATCCGGTGTGACAACACAAGTGCAATTGCGTTGAGCGCCAATCCGGTGTACATTCTCAGTCCAAGCATGTGGACTTAGATGTGCATTTTGTCCGGGAAAATGTTGATGTAAATCAGCTAAGTGTGAGTTATGTTCCAACAGCTCATCAAGTTGCAGATAGCTTGACTAAACCTTTTTCAAAAACTGCCTTTGCTAGTTTTCGGGAGAAAATCAATGTTTATTTGTTTTTTGAAGAAGGGAAAAAGCATGGAGAATGTTGAAAGATGCCTCATGTGATTGTGTAGCTCCATGCATGAGGAAGTTTTAGAAGTGGTTTAGAAGCTAGTTTGTTAATCTAGTAGCCAGTTCGAATTCTTAACAACTTAACAGCTAGGTAATTAGGCAGTTTAAGTGTGTTGTATAAAAACAATATTGTAGACTATGCTAAGATAAGTTCGATTGATGAAATGAAGTAAATCATAAGTTTCCTACATCATTTCTTGAATCTTTCAGCAATATTCAATATTTTTTCTACCGATAATGTTAATATTGGGCATTACCTAAAATGTTTAACATTTCCAGTAAAACGCTACCTAAAACATAATTTTTTTTCTACCAGAAATATTAATATTAGGTTATACCGGAAATTAGTTAGTGAAACTAATATTTTCAATAAAAAAAATAATGTTTTAGGTAGCGCTTTACCATAAATGTTAAAAAATAATAACATTTTCGATAGAGTATTTCCTTAGCCGTATATTAAAACTACCATACAGTATAACTACCCTATAATATTTCATGGGAAAGTAAACGCCTTAAGGGGCTTTTGGATCATGGATTTTAGCTTTACTCGTAGGAACATTTTTTTTCCTCCTTGTGATACCTACGTTTGGATGGGCAAGATTCCCAATAGGGGAGTAATAAAATATTCCCAACAGTAAATTTTTTCAAATTCTACCAGGAATGTTAATCCCATGGTGGGCTTAGGTATTTTTTTGTTTTCCTTCAAGAGTAAAATGCCCTTGAAACAAAAAAATTTATTTAAAAAATACTCTTACTTTTATTTCAAAAGCTATAGTATATTATCATAAATTTATTATAATAACTTTATTTCAAAATTATTCTCAACCGGAAATTTTATTTATTTATTTATTATCGTAAATTTTTAAATATTAATTAATATTAAAAGAATATATGATATATTTACTCTTTTAATATACCCATTTATCTTTTAAATTTTATAAAAAATTTATATAAATTTTATAAATTTAAATTTAATAAAAATATATAAATTGAAAATAATACAATAATATATTTTCTATGAATTTTTATATAAATATTTTAATTTGAATATTTGGAATTCAACTTGTTAAAAAAATATCATAAGAACTATTTAGCAAAATATGCATTTAAGTAATCTTTTATTCTTATAACCAAACATTGTAATCAAACACTGTAATCATACATTAATATTAAACAAACCAAATACAATCATGTAATATTACCATTAATATGTAAGATAATGTAACATTCTGATAATATTATTCCCGAAAATAATATTACATTTATGTCTTAGATTTCAAAGGAAATATCTTGTTTAATAGAATTCAAAAATGGGAAAAAAGCCGAGAAAATGCGTACGGATGAAAGAGAATCAGATGCCTTAATTTGTGTTGGGCCCTTTATATTTGCTCTTCGATCCCCCTTTTACTTTTTCATCATTTAAGGATTTCAACCTCGCACCTCACTTATCCAAAAAAAAAAAAAAAAAAAACCTCGCACCTCTAACGCTCGCATAATTTTCCTCCGGGACTGTTTCTCTCCCCAAACGCCGTCATTTCGAGAAACTAAAAAAGCTTAAAGAGAGAAGACCATGGCCGATCAGCTTACGGACGACCAGATCTCCGAGTTCAAGGAAGCCTTTAGCCTCTTCGACAAGGATGGCGATGGTCCTTTCTCTCATCTCTCTCTTTATTTCTTCATGCTTTTCGTTTTTTAAACTACGGTTTATTGACTTCGATTCAGCCCTGGTTCGCATATCTAACCGTCGCTTTAATTTTTGATGCTTAGCTTTAGCTTTAGGTTTATTTTCTTTAATCTTTTGATCGTTTTCTTTTTGTAATTTGAATAATGTGACGGATCTAGGGCTCCGATTTATGAATTTATGAACATGCTTCATCCTGTTTCTCATTTTAATTCATTGATTGTTTTGGCACTTGATTTTTATAGCTTTGAATGTCACTTTCGTTCTTTTTTTCTTATCTTCTTTATTAGTTGACCTTTAGCAGCCGGCTCATTGATTTCAATTATTTGATCTGTTAAGAATTAGATATTGTTATGTTCAAACATGACCTGCCTAGATCATCATTTTACTATGTGATTTGCTGTATGATTTATGTCTAAGATTAAGATTACCGTTTTGATGATTTAAATTTTTTTTTGTTAATCTTGATTTAGTTTTGCATTTTCGTTTTGTGAATTTTTAATATGATTAGCGAAGCTTCTTTAATTTTTAGCTCACTTTCATTGGACCTTCCTTTTCTTCCTATATTGAAACATGGGATCATTAGTGTTCTATTTTAGATGTCTGTTGGTAATAAAATCATTGACGTAATTGTTTCATCCTGGAAATCAGCTTTTACGTTTGAAGTATGCATGATAGTTAAAATTCCAGAATCTAAATGTGCGTGAAGTTGACATATCCCAAGAGTTAGACACTTGTGGCTTGTTTGGTTTGTTAATTTTGTGATTTGTAATGCTAACGTGAATATGTTTGGGCTTTGCTTGAACAAACTGGATAGTTGATTTCCGGAATACATATATGGATCCTTATTGTTTTGTACATGTCTTCTATTGACATATCCCAAGAGTTAGACACTTGTGGCTTGTTTGGTTTGTTAATTTTGTGATTTGTAATGCTAAACGTGAAATATTATGTTTGGTGCTTTTGCTTGAACAAAACTGGATAGTTGATTTCCGGAATACATATATGGATCCTTATTGTTTTGTACATGTCTTCTATTATTACATGAGCCATGAGTATCAAACATTTGACTGCTGACGCTTATACGTTTGAAACTTATCAGATACTAGATTGCTGTCGCCCAATTAGTTTGGCTAATGCACTGCTGACCAAGCTATTCATGTCTTTGTTTTGGTACATCCAAAAAGTGTTAACTATCTAATCAATTGTTCTTATTTGACTTTGTGAAGTACTTTGGCGGACATTTATGGTGTTCAAGAAGTTTGTAAATCATCAGATATCTTTTAAGTTAAAAGTATTACGGTGTCTTATTTTTCATCTTAGATATTATGTTTAGTGTTCGCCTTTTTTCTGGCCAGCTGTATTTACTAGTGTTGATTGTTTCTCAACAAATATTGTACTCCTACTTAGTGCATTTATATGTATCCTTGGTGCAGGCTGCATTACTACCAAGGAACTGGGGACTGTGATGCGATCACTTGGTCAGAATCCCACTGAGGCAGAACTTCAGGATATGATTAATGAAGTTGATGCTGATGGAAACGGGACCATTGATTTTCCCGAATTCCTTAACCTGATGGCTAAGAAGATGAAAGACACTGATTCGGAGGAGGAGCTAAAAGAGGCTTTCAGGGTTTTTGACAAGGACCAGAATGGTTTCATATCTGCCGCTGAGCTTCGCCATGTCATGACAAATCTCGGTGAGAAGCTTACGGACGAGGAAGTTGATGAGATGATCCGTGAAGCTGATGTTGACGGTGATGGGCAGATCAACTATGAGGAGTTTGTCAAAGTCATGATGGCCAAGTAAGGATCTCCCCAATCATAACCAAGGTCCAAAAATGGGTTAAGGAAAAGGGATCAGGATTCGGGGCAGATAAATTTGCAAAGATTTATATTTATATCAATAGGACATCTATGTTTCTATGTTACTAGCTTTTGGTTTGGTGTCTGTTTCTTTGTCTGCGTTATTTAGTGGACTGGTCCTTAATAACCTACTTGTTTGCTCTGTTCCCCCCCCCCCTTTAGTGTATGGGTTGTTAGTGTCTTATTTATTTTTTACAATTTGGTGTTTTCTTTCTATTCTTGTTGCCATGAAACCTAAACCAATTTGGAAAGATTGGATGTTTCTGCTTATTGTTTACTAAATTTTACCATATATGTTAACTATTATTTATGCTGGCTTGCAAATACGGCCATTGGTTATCCCCATCATCTCGTCAAAAAGGGGCTGAGCTTTCTGTGCGATTGATTGGCCAATTTCCCTAATAGTGGTCGAACCTGGTTGACAACATCACCAAGACATTTTAATCGAAATAAACTCAGGAAACAGTTTAATTCATTTTGATATAGTAATTTTGGATATTTTGGATCTCTATTTTTTATTTTATCCCCAGTCATTTCAATACAAGATTATTGGTTTCCCCGTCCAAAGGAGAAGAGCGAAAGCCATGGCATCTTCTCTGGGCTTTCATTAATACATTCATGTTTTCTATATTAAAACATGAATTTTAACTATTATAAAACTTTGGTGTTTAAAATTTTTGAACTGTGAGTAAAGTTTAATAAGTATAAAATATTAAAAAATGGAGTATATGGTAAAATTCTATTCAACATCATAATTTCATGAACATGTGTTAATTTAGATGAAATTATGTGATAGAGAGAAAAGGGACACGAATGATGATGAGATAACGTAATGGAAATTGACGAAAATAAACTGAAATATGAATAGAATAAAATAAAATGTAAAATTTTGTACTAGTATTGATGTGCACAAATCGATATCCACGTCAAAACTGTATTTTGTGATTGGTTGTATAAATTCAAAAAAAAAAAAAGAGTTACGTTATTATACGGTAAAATCAATAACATTATTTTATTTCAAATTATTTAAATAATAAAGATCTTTTAAGATTATTTTATAGCTTTGGAAAGTAAAAAAGAGATCATATAATATAACTTTTCAAATAAATAAAAAGATTGTAAACTGATTAAGAATGAAAATTGGTTGAACTTGAACGGATGAAAAGAATGGTACGAGGAGCAGTCGCATCATCCGCCGCCAGGAGATGAGCTCCTCTAGGAACATATTTGAAGCGGCAAGCCAGAAACACTTCTGCTCTCCGCCGAGCCTCCCAAATCAGAGAACTGATCTCCGATCTGTCAATAATTGAGGAGCTAAGCTTATCAGTCACCGTTTTTTAATCCCCTTCAATTTTTACATCTCGAAAACCTAGATCCACGACGAAGAGGACGATATGCATTGCAGCAGAAGCTTCCGTCATAAAGGCAGAGCTAACCCTTGAAACCCTCCTTCGACATGCTCCCAAAATTTGGCCTCCTCCATCTCTAATTATCACTCCTGACCACGTGACCTATTGGGATTGGAGATATCGCGAGTCAAAATTCGCCTTAACAGTAGGGGCTCGGGGTGCCTGCCAACGGTAAGGGGGAGGGGGCAATCCCCCGATCGAGCTCTTCTGTACATAAACAGTATCTCGACGCTACGAACGGGTTAAGGTAACCACTTCTTCTCTCCTAAGGTTCTTCCCTTGGTGATAAAGTAGATTACGGGCATACCAGATTGCCCAGACGGTGAACATCCAATGTAGCCAATCCATCATGCATGACAATGTGCTATTCCTCGGCCCGTTTAAATATAATGTTTCCCAAACCCAAGCACCAAATGAACATTCTGTGAGGACATGGATACCGGATTCATCTCCTCCCCCATATCTTAAGCATTTAGGGTCATTAACGATCCGCTTAACATGTAGATTTTGTAAGGTAGGGATAAAGTTTTGTGTAAACCTCCGAACCTGTAGTTTGATCTTCCTTCGACAAGAACAAGCCCAAATGAAATGTAGCACGACTTTTGCAGTTTGAGATAAATCAATTTCTGGTAACAGTAACTAGTAGCCGCTTCTAACACTGTAGAAGCCCGACCTCTCCACACTCCACACTTTGCAGTCATCTAGATAGATACTTGATAGGGGAATTTCCAAAATTTTATTCGCTTCCTCGCTACTAAAGATTCGACAAATTAGCTCCTCATTCTAGCGTATGTCTGTGTCTATCAACTCAGCAACCCGCTCAACAGACTGATCTCGCGTTGAAACCAAACGCTTTGGCACTCTACTCGGCAACCAGTAGTCATTCCATATTGAGATGGAATGGCCTCTACCTACTTTCCACCTGCCAACAAACCTCTAGCACTCCAGATGCAAGAAGGTGAAGATCCCAACCTCGCAGTCTTGAAATCCCCCGAGTGGTAATATTTAACCCTCAAAACTTGACTCACTAAAAAAGAAGGCTTAACTAAGAGCCGTCACCCCTGTTTCGGCAACAAAGCAACATTGAACTTCGCCAAATCCCGAAAACTCAATCCACCATCTTCTTTATGAATGCACAATTGCTTTCAGGTGCACCAGTGAATACCCTGTTTATTCTGTGTCTTCTGCCACCAAAACCGAGTCATGATGCTCTCCAAGATCTGTAGAGTTGCTTCGGAAGTAAGAAACAATTCATTGCGTGTAGTTGTAACTCTTGCAATACAGACTTTATAGACGCCTTCTTCCCCCTTGAGATAGAACTCTAATACACCAGTTTCGGATACGTGCATGAAACTTATCACGTAAGTATGAGAAGGCCCCCCTTTTGTTTCGACCAACAATTGCCGACAACCCCAGATACCTCTCCGGATTGGATGAAGAGAAAACTTCCAGAATTCTACGAATATCATTTCTGTTAGCATCAATTACGTTAGAGCTGAAGAACACCCTCAACTGGTCAAAGTTAATGAGCAGACTTGAACATTCTCTATAAATGCGCAACAAACCTATGATTTGAGAAGCTGTTGTGGCTGTAGCTTCACTGAATATAAGGCTATCATCAGCAAAGAATAAATGAGAAATCACAAGAGCATAGCGGTTCAACTTAACACCTCGCAACCTACCCCAGACACTGTATGCCGAACTAACGAGGACTAGCCTTCACTACAAATCTGAAATAAGTAAAGGCTTAAAGGGTCACCTTGCCTAAGGCCACGCTGAGGAGCAAACCTTTCAATTGTCACACCATTTATAACCATCGAGTATGAAATTGAGGTTACATGTCGTCTTACACATTCTACCCAATGGGACGAGAATCCCATCTTTCTCGTAATTTCTCAACAAACTACCATTCAACCCTGTCATAAGCTTTGCTCATATCTAGTTTCAATGCAAAGTAGCCCATTCGTCCTACCTATTATTCTGTAAAAAGTGTAGCAACTCATAAGCGACAATAATATTATCAGAGATCAACCTTCTAGGGAGAATCGCACTCTGTGCCTCATCGATATATCTGTACAGTAGCCCCTGTATTCTATTTACAAGCATTTTGGAAACTATCTTATAAAGAACATTACACAGGCTGATGGGACGTAGTGAGTTAATTGAGTCAGATTATTCATCTTAGGGATAAGCGCTATGTGAGTGTGATTAATCTAGCTTACTTCATACCAGCTTGCAAGGACACCAATGCAGTAATCAGAAACTTCGGGTCCAACAACATGCCAGAAACGCGGGTAAAACAATACCCCTAGCCCGTCCCCACCTACCACTTTCAAGGTGGACATTGACTTAACTGCTCGTGTCACTTCTCTCGAGAACGACTCCTCTAGCAAAAGATTCATTTCACCCGTGATACTCTCGTCTATTCCATCTAAAATGTCTGGATCCATCGAAACAGCATTAGAAGCGAAAAGATGCTGGAACTAACTCTTAGCTGGCTCTCCAATACCAACTTCCGTATCAACAACCGTACCATCCTCACCGACTAGAGATACAATTTTGTTCCTCCGATTCCTTTTGGGAAGCAAATCTATGAAAAAAAAGCCATGTTATTGTCCCCATTTATGAGCCAATTCCCTCGACCTCGCTGCTCCCAATATAATTCTTCCATATCAGCCTCCAAATTTAGATGCAATTTCGTGTCCACTATTTTGCCCAACACGTCGTCCGTAGGCTACCTTTTACCAAATCCGAGAGCGTTCTCTGTATTCAGCAGTCGTTAATTTCTTAGACCTGCAAATCTCTTTGAACTAAACATCCCGTCCATGACTCACATAATTCAATTTATCATTTTTAAAAATTACTTGAAATTCACTATCTGTGATTTTCATATATGACGTATGAAATAAAATAATGAAATTACAAAATTAAATGTGTATTTGTTTTTGGATTCTTCCACATTTTTTGACACAATAGATGACTATTGATAAAATTGATTTAAAGGGAGAGTAATTTTTTTATTTATAATTATTTTAACTTTTATTTTTTTATTAGGTATCTTTTAAAGTTTAAGATTTTATTATTTATTAAATTGATTCAAATATGATAACAATAAAATAATATTAAATTGGAAAAAATATTTTATCCTTACTAAATTTAATTTTAAATGATGTAAAAAATTATTCAAAAGTTTAAAAATTTATCAAATAATTTTAAATTTTCGACATCATTATTTTTTAATCTGTTGACTTTAAAAATTAAATTAAAATTTAAAATATAAATGATTCATATTTCAAAACTAAAAACTATTATAACAAACAATATCAATAAAGTGAAATCTCACAACGGATAATTGATAATAAGTGATTTAAAGGTCGAGTATATTTAGACACTTAATTCTACATTAAGCCTATTTATAATATATTATTTATATGGATAAATTATAAATTTGGTAACTGAATTTTACTCTCTCTCCTATTTTATTGACTATACTTTAAATATTTTCAATTTCCTCACTAAATTTAATACATTGAATTTTTTTTATCACTAAGCCATTTCCTCACTAACAACGTTATAAACATACTTTTATATAGATTTAAAACGACATCGTTTTGGTAAAAATTTTATTTTTTTTAAGATGGCATCATTTTAACGCCACTAATGATTTAACAGCGAGTGACAAAAAAATTCAATTTATTAAATTCAGTGAGAAAATTGATAACTTTTAAAGTTTGTGAGCAAAATAGTAGAGAGTAAAGTTTAGCGATGGAATTTATAATGTACCTTATTTATATATGTGAATTCTTTTGTTTTTAGGCTTAATACCAAAATAAGTACTAAAACTATATCGTTATTCTCAAATAAGTGTCTAACGTTACAAAAGTTATCATTTTAAAGTTTGTTTGACTTTAGACCGTTTGACCATGGTAGGAGGGAGCATGAAGGGAAAATGGGGCACGTGAGGAAAGGTTTGATTTTTTTTAATAATATTTTTATTTTTTATGATTTTTTTTTTTAAGATTATGACACGTGACATTTATTAGATTAGTCAAAAAAATAATTTATACACTTATTTAGGAATAAAAGATATAATTTAGCCACTATTTTGGACCTAAACCTTGTTTTTATTTTTCCCGATATGTCACAGACGGATTTGGAGCAAAGAAATCAAGTGAAATCTTTGGTCCAACTTGAGATAAAAAGCAGTTTAGAAACCCAGAGCCTCTAGGTTTGTCGCTTTAGAGACATGTTGAAGCTAAGGTTGTCTGGTCTGAGTCGTGGAGTTTGTCCGAAATTCCGATTACCCAATCCACGTTGTTATTCGAAATCAGTATCATCAATAGCACCATCCGCCATTGATGTAAAACCCAAGGTTCCACTCTATCTAAGGCCACCTTCCTTCTCTGCCACACTTTCAGAGCTGACCAAATGGCATAAATGGGCCAAAAACATGGCATCCTCGGTTGGTTCCACTTTTGTTAAATTAGACAATGCCCCAGATTCCACTCTCCTCCGTGGAGAGCTTAACTGGCTTCTACAAGACTTAATTGAACTCCAACATCATCCAGAAATGCTACCTCGATTGGAATCGAGTGACAGTGAGAATGTGGATTTAAGCGTTGCGTTAAGAGCGCCACTGGAGGAGATGTATTGCGTTTGGAGGCAGAGGATTGAAGGGAGGAGACCTTTTCAGTATGTGGTGGGGTGTGAGCACTGTAGGGATTGGTGTTGAGTGTGCAAGAAGGGGTTCTTATTCCTCGCCCGGAGACAAATGATTATTGATTTGGTTGAAGATGTGGCTTTGAATAATTCTCCGGAACTGATTCAGGGTTTCTGGGCCGATTTGGGGACAGGCAACGGCGCTATTGCCATTGCGACAGCAAGGGTATTAAGAAGTCATGCTGATGGTGATGCTCATGGCAGTCATCGCCACTGATTTAAGTCCGGTGGCGGTGGCGGTGGCGGTGGCCACCTCTAATGTGCAAAGATTGGTCTACTGGTAACTCATTAATACTGAGTTAGAAATTGTGTTTATTGTTTAGGCATAGTGAAGACTGAAAATGCTCCCTAAATTTGTAGTGTGCACAAAGCACGTTTAATGATATATGATGTTTTTAAAAAAGAGAAAAAGAATGAATCAGTGCCTTTATGGCGGCTGCTGGATCACAATGGCAATTTGGATGAAGATTTGTGCATGGAAGTCTTAAATTTTTTGTTGCAGAGCAAGATATAGGATGAGAATTTTTAATTTTGAATGGTTTATGCAATTTGGATGAAGACTTGCACCTTTCTTGTCTTGGATCATACTGAGATGTTCAGTTTCAAAACTTGATTTTGGTTTACGAATAGGATGTGGTTGAGGTGCGGAAAGGATCTTGGTTTTGAACCATTGAAAGACGTTCAAGGTGAACTTGCTGGTGTTTTGAGTAACCCGCAATACATACCGAGTGACCACTTATCTGGACTAGAAGCTGAAGTTGGCCGACATGAACCGATACTTGCATTAGATGGTGGTGCTAGTGGAACCAATGATCTTCTTCATCTCATTGATGGTGTTGCTTCCATGTTGAAACCTGGAGGGTTTTTCGCTTTCGAGGAATACTGTTTGTTTTCCTACAATGGCAACCATTTTCTTGTTTTAATAGTTAACCCCCCCCCCCCAAAAAAAAACCTATAATTTTGTCAGCAATCAACTTATGACCTTGTTCCACTTTTCAGTTTGAAATTTTGGTTTAACTTTGGTAGATTAGAAAAAATGGGTAGAGAAATATGGCATTATTAACATTATTCGTTTCTCATGTCATGTATATCAATGAAAAAGGAAAACAGACTATGAAAATGTATACTTAACATGATTCGTTTCTTCTTCTGGTTGTTTAGCTGGAACTGACCGGAGTTCTTTCCCCCGTTACAGACAAACGGTGAGAAGCAGTGCAAGTTTCTTGTGGACTACATTCAAAATGATAAGGCAGACAGGTTTCGTAATATTAACATGGTATCTGATTTTGCTGGTATCCAACGTTCTGTGATGGGATTTCGTTTATGAATGGAATGATTGGTAAATACCTCCGTTTATTGGTACTGAAGAACAGGAAACAAGGAAAAGGTCTGTGTTCACAGTAGCTTTATACATTTTCTAATTTAAGTATTTATGATTGCTTTACCATATGATGGTTTTATTCCATTTGTTGTTTGTTGATTATTTGCATTTATGTGTAATCGACATCTTTTTTGACTTCTAATATTGTGAAAGTGTTATTGCCGGATGCTTGATCATATGTTACAATCCAACATGGATATATTCAGTTTTCAAGTTATTGGTAGTGTATCCTTCATCATCTATACATGATAATCCGATTGCTTTTTCAAGTTCTCAAGTTTTGACAACATCTCTATTCACATATTCGTATTTCAGAGATGAAGTTTTCTCTCTCAAATATCGCAAAAGGTGTATATTGCTTTCTTATCCTCTTCCCCCCCCCCCCCAAACACCCCTTTTTTCTTTTTCAAGTAAATTAATGGGAACAGGAACAAGAACAAGTGGGTTTGGCACTACCAGAGGAGGCCAACTTATGACTGCGTTCCCAAGCATCTACTGGTGCAGCTTTTTCATGAGGGGCATGCCGAGGATGTTTCTCCCTTTTGTCACCCTTTATCTGCTTTAATGCATGCTTAAGGGCAGGCAACAATGCATCCATGCATTCCGCGACCGCATTTGGATTACCAGGCATGTTGATGATCTGGATACATGACAGTATTAGAAACATGTATCATAATAGAACATGTTCATGATCTTGATATAATGAGAGCATTAGGAACAAATAACAATTATAACATAATTCTTACCAATGTTGACCCTCTTATTCCCGCTGCTGAACGTGAGAGCATAGCAAACGGAGTTACCTATTTCCGTTAAGAAAATCGGTTAGACATGTTTCATAATCATAACTATAAAAGAGGTTGGTTTACAGATGACCTAGTAAGAGTACACAAAATGTTGTGACATCCTATGTAATGTATGTATGTCTGTAGAATATAATAGTAATATGCTTCTTTGATATGAAAATTTGATGAAATCAACCATTTCCTGAATAAGATTAATTTATTCAAACACATACTCTGGAAACCAAAGAAGATTTAACAAGAAGAAGATAATTGAAATGACAATCTGCATTATCCCATGACACATCAAAGAGAAAATAAAGATGTACGGTATGCATATTAAGCTTTTCATATTTGATTGAATTGACATAGATTGTAGCACCTTAAGCCAAGCTAGGCCTCGGGGGAGGAAAATTTAGAGTTCTACAGATAATTTATGGCACAATTTAGTTCTGTACCTTTAAACTCTCTTGCATCATGACATACAAAAGACCGGGTGTTTCTTTTTCAATCAACGCTTTGGTTGCTTCAGGTGTCACATCTCTTGGAGTGAAGCCAGTGCCACCTTAATGACACAACATAATTTTAAGGAATGGAAATAAATAGAACAAAAAAGGAAATCTCTATCCAAGCACGAAAAGGAGGCCGGCAAGGATAGAAGAACTCACCAAGTGTAAGGATAAGATCCATTTTATCAGTGTCACTCCATCTCTGCAAAACTTCCTTTATCTTTCCCACATCATCTGAAACCACACCTGTAGCAACTACCTTTGCTCCTCCTAACTTTTCTGATGAGGAATTTACAACGGATACTGCCCTCGGCCCACTGCAATTTCATAATCATTCATTAGACGCACCCAAATATGAAGGATGCGGGACAAGGAAAAAAAACCTTCTAGGATATATTAAAAAAATGAACTATTCAGAAATCAGATTGTGATAAAGCATAAAAGGATGGAAGTTGGCAGTGGGAGCAACTATCGATTAACTTCAACTAAGTAACCCGGAACAATTGTTAAGCATCAGTTAATCATATATTCATTAGGTTGCCAATGCAGGCAATTTGTCATCAATGCATCTTCAAGAAGGTTTCAGGTCTGAGATAAAAAGATAAAACATTTTCGGGAGGGGCGAAAAATGCTAAGACATTGATTAGCATAAGATCAATTTTATGAAATATATCCAAGAAAATGATAAAAAGGAAAAGATAAAAATAATAAAGAACCTAGAAAACTAAGACTTAAAATGCAAAATACACCTTCATGCATAACATACCATTGCTGTTTCCAAATGTTGTAGCAAAGTATTCAGTATTCCCGTATCTCACTTTTTCATGGGACAATATCAACTTTGCTCATTTGTTTTAGCATCAAATATGTGACCCTCATGAAACAATTATTCAAAAGTGTATCTAGATGCATTTAAACTGGGAGCCCAATGAAACCATTCCTTTTCAAAGGACATTGTTAGAAAAGATAAGTCAAAAGATAAACATAGCCAAGTGGACACATGATCAACACCAGACAAACAATTGGCTGTATATTGTAGCAAAGCTTTCACCCATTTCATATCCAACTAGAATGAACTGGAAATATCAACTCTGCTTTATTCCTTTAGCATCCATAAAGTGACCATTCTGAAAAACTAGAACAAAATGATGTATCGGGATGCCCTTTTTTTTATAAAAAAAATGTAGTCTCACTCCAGTATTCAGGGATTGCAGGGTGAGAAGGATTAGATGTTGAAGAATCAATGGATGAGTTGTGGATAGAAGTGACATGAATCTCATAGTACATAAAATATGGAATAATATTTCACAAATCCCAAATGAAAGCAGTCATGGACCAACCACATTTAGACTCGAAATAGATGGGACTTAAGCAAACAACAAATTCCAACTACCAATAGATCGATCATCAAATATCCTAAATAAAATTAAGCAAAATTATCATAACTCAGTTTTCTATGTCAATTATTGTAGCCTTTGAAAAATCGTAAGGAACTTAACCCAGGAAATGATTCAATATCTGAAGAAGCAATATGCAACAACATACCTTCGATCAGGCCCAGCACCTAATGCAACAGTGTCACTCACTGTAAGAACAGCTACCTTGTACGGGGCATCCTGAGATCCATCTGCCGTTATTTTATTTGGAATGTTTTTATGTATTGTAGTACTTGAATCTGATGACAATGTAGCCTTGCTCAATGCAGTATCACTTAAATCAGAAATTACAATGGCTGAGACAGAACTTCCAGCAGGAATAATTGTCCCTGTTGCTGGCAACTCAAGCAAAGCATTAGCTGACTTCATACTCAGAAGCCGACTACTCATTTGGCGGCCGGTGCTCTCAGCAACAAATCTAAAACCCAAAAGAAACAAATTTCCTATTCACGCAATTAGAATAGTGTTCGAAGTAGAAGAACATACCAAAAACCATGACACGCTTATAGAGTAAATTAGGTACAAGAAGGATCCAACAAAAAACAAATCAAAGAAGTGAAAAGATATGTCAAGAAAACTATAACCCTAAAGTTTACCCTGGATTCCCTGATCCATCATTAACCTCCCATCTGATAATGGCACGATAAAATTCTGGTCGAATTGGATCTGACTTAAACGGTTGTTGAAGTCGAGCCTGCACCCTATACAACAAACACAAGGAAGTGTTATGCAATCTTTAAATCAATGGACGAACAGCAACAGAAAGAGAACAATATACGGGAAGTTTAAGCGACCTCAAAAGATGTGGATTGGTCCATCCTGCTAGGAGGCGTATGGTAGGGACCACAAATAGATGGAAACAAACTAGACAACTAACTGGATTTCCTGGTAAACCAAATGCAAGAACTTTGTTCACTGGTGCATTCTCTGCCTGATTTAAATTTATCTCTGCAAATGTTAAGGGTTTCCCTGGTTTCATGCAAACCTGCCAAGGAATCCAATCCAAACAAAGTTAACATAGATGTCTACTCAATGATGCTCAGGATAAAATATAAAATCTAAAGCACCAAGATGCAATTGGGAACACAACTGAATTTTTTCCCCAGATTATACTAAGTAATTTTCTCACAAAGAAATCAACATGGAAAACAACCTTGCTGAAGTGCATTGTCCCCTTCTTTTCAAGCAAAGGCTTCACAAAATCTTTATCTCCCATTGAAACACCCCCGGAAGTCAGAAGAATATTAATCCCTGAAGCAAATGCACTATCCAAGACCCTATCAAGTTCTTCTTTGTCATCTCCAACAATACCAAGGTCAAGCACTGTGCACTGTTGCTGTGCTGCAGCTGCCAATAACATTGCACGGTTGGAATCCCTTATCTGCAAAAGACACCAGGCATCCTAAATGACATCTCAATGGAAATTCACAAAACAAAGGAGCTCATCCATCAAAATATAGGATGGAGCCATGGGGAAATCCACAAAGAAAAGGTGTAACATGAAGAGATTTAGGCAACAAAGACAGAATGATCATTATATCTCCTAGATTCTGTAAATATATGTCATTTTTATTGAATAAGACCATTGCTAAGATAACTGCAGATCAGTCCTCAGAAACTTATTTCTAAGTTGCATTGCTAGCATCCCATGCGCAGTGATCTCACGATCACCATGGTTGCAATGTTTCATTATCCTCAAACTCTTCAACTTTTTGCACCAAGAGTAAATTTTATATAATAAATCCTTTCAAATTCTTCTTTCTTTTCCCTTCTGGGGAAAGGGAGGTGCTTGGGGAATAACCTTCAGGCCTAACTAGAGAATTTAACCTTGCGCAAATCAGTTGTAGGAAACTGAATAATCTACAATTTGAAAATTGAACTCAGATGGTCCAGTGCTACCTGGCCACGACTTAGGGATCCAGTTGTTGGCTCTACAAGTTCATCTCCAGTGGATAGAACAGCAATTGTTGGTGTAGGCTGCACCTGCAAAATCAGCCATACCCTGGAGATCATGCAAATTCATTAAAGCCAAAACAGCAGGCAATATAGTACCTTCACCATCGTAACACCAACTGTAGCAAGTAGCCCCACTTCTGAAGCACCTATTTTTTCTCCAGATTTCAAAACTACTGCATCTTTCTGAATGTCACATCCCTGCAAAACAGATGCTAGCTTGAACTTTTGAAATAACAGAAAGCATGGAAATATGAAGTTATTTCAGATAATGTACATTCATTACAAAGAAAAATGATACAAACTATACAATAGACAAAACAGTCAAGTTCATATTGTTCTGTTTGTTCTTTATTTTTCTATTTTCACCATGGATAAACAAAGTCAGATCAACTTATACAGAAAGTGAGAAGCCAGGAAAGTTTAACTTAATTCCTATTCTCCAACAAGCCATAGACCATTAAGTTTTAAAAGGGCTTTGAGGAAGTAACAAGACAGAAAAAAATTATCATAGAGACGAGGATGGTTTGGAGCAGAAAAAGGAAAAGGAAGGATGAGGCAGTGAAGAGAAGTGGAAAGCAGGCGAAGAGATGGAGTTAATGATATCATACCACTGGACGAATATCAACGCCTTCGCTGGTTTTCACCAATATCCTTACACACTTTGTTTCAGAAGGAGCTTTAACTTGTTCGGTATCTTCAACTTGGACAACTGCATCAGCACCATCAGGTATTGGTCCTGAGGGGCAAAAAAAAATGCAAAATGGAGAAAACTTTGAGGGGAAAAATGAAGTGTTAAATAATATGCTGAAGCTGGTTAAGTCTTAAAAGCATGATTTAAACATATTTGAAGCTCAATGTCACCATGCAATGCCCTAAAGTAGAAGAAGAGGCCCCCTTTTTAAACTATTGTCAATCTAAATTTTGGACATGTATGATCACACTTAAGAACATGTTTTTAAGAGCATGACCATTTAGCAAAAGACAGCAATACTTGGTTGGCCATTCAAGAAGCAACATTGTGTTTAGTCAGATTATCTCTTTTAAAATAATATTTCCCGCCCAGAAATGAATATTACTTAAATATGAATGGAAAAATATAGGCTACCCACAAGAAACCTATAAGCATGTCATCAGCGATTTTGGCTCTCTTTGCAGATCCGGATTTGTTTTCAATTTTAAAGACAATTACTTTCAACTGCTACCTTCCACGTCACAAAGTTATCATATTGGCTAAACACACCTCCAAAGCAAAAAAAAAATATATTCAGATAGCATTTCACAGATTAATACATAACTTTAATAAGAGTGATTGAAGGCTCCATAAGAAAATGTGCCTAAATTATTGCAAATGGAATGCCAATTGTCCAGAAAACAGAAGATAACAGGACCTGTTCATGTCAACATAATAACAAGAACAAGAAGAGTAACCTCCAGTTGTCACATATGCAACGGTTCCAGGAGTCACTGTGACACCAACCCCATCATTTCCGGCTCTTGATTCAGTTATTACAGGATACTCACCGGGGCCATCCGACGCAATCACTGCATAACCATCCTGCGATGCAACAGACGTCTCAGTTATTAAGATAATACACTTAAAAATCTTCCCAACTATGAGATATATAACAGCTTGTTTTCTTCCTTCTTAAAGAAAGGGAAAATGTTTTAGAACAGAAATGAAACCTCATCAACTGTTCCTAATGCCCGGTCAAGGAAGTTACAAACTACATCCAAATGAAAAACCAAATTGCGTCTTAGGAGGTCCGTCCTCCGGCGAGGATTGGACGGTGTTTGTAGATAATCTTAGCAAGAGAGTCACTTGGAGAACATTAAAGGATATTTTTAGTCAACAGGGTAGTGCTATGAGAGTTTACATCCCGAATAGGTCTAACAAGCCAAATTATAGAGATCATACGTTTGCGTTCGTTCAGTTTGCGAAGGAGGATGAAATGAAGAAGGCGATTGAGAATGTTAATGGTATTTGGATTGATAGGAAGAAAGTTTCGGTATGTGTAGCTAAATATCGGAGGCAGAAGCACATGCAAGTAGTTGGAAGAAAGTCCAGAAAAGATGAAGATAAGTTGAGTGAGGGAGCGAACTGGAGGAGTAGAGTTGGATCTCAGTCTTTCAGTCGTTTGAGGGATGAAAGGTCATATAAGGATGCTTTAGTCTCATCTGATGGGATGAGGAAAGGTCCGGTGGAGGAAAAGATTAGGGTGGGTCACCCTTGTAAAGATGTTGTAATGAGAAATCTTTGGGAGATGCATATTCCCTCAGATGAATGGGATTGGGTGAAGAGATCATTGACTGGGATTATCAAACCACACTTTGATTTGGAGTTAGTGTTGAAGGGATTGGCAAGCGATGGGATCAAGGTTAAGGGAGCTAAGTGGGGTTATGCGTGGAACTCTTGCATATTAACCTTTGATTCGGTGGAAGATTTTAAAGAGGCGTGGTCGAGCAGATTAGAGGAATTATCCTTCTGGTTTGATTGGATTGATTCTCTTGTGAATGATGATTGGGTACCGATGGCGTTTTGTTCAGTTGAGTTAGTTGGAATCCCCTTATTATGCTGGAATGTCTCTTTTATGGAGAAACTTGTCTCAAGGTGGGGGAAGCTAGTCTGTATCAACGATTCGACAGTGCAAAGAGACAACATGGCGGTGGCAAGGGCCTTGCTGAGGGTGGGCAGTCCCTTTGATGTACAGGAGTCTGTTATTGTGGGCTCGTATGGGAGATCTTTCAAGGTCAAAATTAATGTGGGGTTGGTCTATATAAAACAGGAAAGTTTCTCAGTAGGAAACTCAACGGTGGCCGGCGAGGATATGTTCAGAGATGATGAAGTTTCAGAGGAGGAAGAAGACAGGTGCTCTGATGGGGTTGGTAGACCAGACTTGCCAGCTGTGGATACTAGGGACAGTGTTGACAGATGGTTAGTAGGGGATGTGAGTACAGCTGTATCAGGCGGCAAAGGGGGTCAGAATTTAATGTGGCAGGAGGGAGAAGGTCAACATAGTGGACTAAAGATGTCAGACTGTCCAGCAGAGGATTTGAATTTGAGAGGGAATTATCAGGGTATTGGGATTAGGTGTAATTTTTCCAATGAAAGTGATAAAGCCCAATCACAGGACTTGAGTGAGCCCATTAGACTATCAACTGCTGGGCCAATTGTCATTTTAAATCGACTGGGCTGTGGTAGACTTATAGAATCTCAGGTGGAGGAACTAGGAGACTCACAAAAAAAGGTGATGGACGAATCAAATAGGCAGGATCAGGATATAGCTTCGTCTGAATCCAACTCAAATTTGCTTGTTGGTGGAATTAACGTCAGTCTACAGGCTAAGTTTACAAATGAGGATATGGTAGAGGAAAGATTAATTCGGGAGAAGGAAGTTGGTAGTGCAGAAGGAACAGAGGTGGAAAGGGTTGAAATTCCAATGCTATTGGCTGGTAATCTGGGGCGGAGTATCAACAAGGAGTCCATTTCTTATGGTTTAAAAAGAGGTTTTCTGAAGAACAAGATGTTAAGGATTGCTCCAACTTGGTCTGGTAGTTCTTGTTCGGAGGGTGAAGTTTCATTTTGTTTCCATGATCGAATTTATGAAAGACTAGATAGAGGTCTGGACAGGGAAAATATGGATCAAAACAGTGATAATTCTGTGTCCCCGCACAAATCTGTCGAAGCAAGATTGGAAGCTACTGCTACTAGGGATGTGTGTGATATGTTGGGAATCTCTTTCAAAGGGGGTAATCATGTTTTGGAAGAGGAGATCTTGAAGATGGAGCTAAAAGGGCCTCTTAGAAGCTCTTGACTGATTTTTACAGGATGGTAAAGGTTTGGTGCTATTGTTAATTATGTCACAAATCAAATTGATTTCATGGAACGTTAGGGGGCTTGGTAGAAAGGAAAAATCAAGAGCAGTTGCAAGATTAGTTTCAAAAATCAAACCGATGATTATGTTTCTTCAGGAAACTAAGTTGAATAAATGCCAAAAGGGATTGTTGAGGAAGTTAGGGGGTAACTTCTTGAAAGGTTTTAGTTTTCACCCGGCTACTGGTTCTGCAGGGGGTTTAATATGTTTGTGGAATGAAAATATGTTTGAAGTAAGCAGGGATTTTAAACACAATAGATTCATTGCGTTATCAGGAAAGGTTAAGAATCTCAACTTTGATTGTGTTGTTATTAATGTGTATGGACCGTCGGTTGAGGCTGATAAAGAGGAATTTTTAAGAGAGCTGATGTGTTTTATACAACAGCTTGATTTGCCTGTATGCCTAGGAGGGGATTTCAACGCTTATCTTGATCCCGAGGAGAAGATTGGAGTTGCTCAGAATTGGCATTCAGTGGAGTTATTCTCCAACTTTGTCCTAAATTTAAACCTTATGGATCTACCTTTAGTTGGAGGGAGATTTACTTGGTGCAATAATAGAGAAGCTCCCACGTGGATTAGATTAGATCGTTTTCTATTAAGTGGTGCGTTTTTTCAGGTATTTCCAAAAGTTATCCAGAAAGTGTTGCCAAAATCTTTATCTGATCATAATCCTATACTACTTGAAGAAGATCTCAAAAATTGGGGCCCCAAACCTTTCCGGTTTTTTTAACTACTTACTAGAGGAGGATGGGTTTAATGGGGTGGTTCAAAATGCTGTGCATGATCTAAAAAGGGAGAATGCCCGAAGGGGTATGCTGAGTATTCTTCAGGGAACAAAGAAAGCGATTAAAATGTGGCCAAATAGTAACAATATGGGAATTTCAAAACATATATCAGAGCTGGAAAAACAGGATAAATGACTTGGAATTAAAGTCTCAGGGTAGGGGAATTTCTGCACAAGAATGGGGTCAACTATTATCTTAGAGGAATGATTTGTGGAGTTTGCATAGGAAGGAGGAGAGTATTTGGTTCCAAAAATCAGGTCTTAAATGGATTAAGGAAGGGGATAGAAATACCAGATTCTATCACATATGTGCTCTTAATAGGAATAGAATGAATGTTATTTCGTCTTTGAAAGTGGATGGGATAGATATCTCTGATCCTACTCTGATTAGATCAGCTATCTTTGATTTTTTTAAAGTCAATTACAATGAGAAAACTTCTATGGAGGTGGATGAATGTAATCTGAATTTCGCAAAATTGACAGAGGAACAAAAGACTGGGTTAGAGGCTGATTTTTCTGAACAGGAAGTGTGGGATGCTGTCTTTAAGTCGGACAGTGCTAAGGCACCTGGTCCAGATGGGTTTACAATGGGTTTTTTAAAAAAATTCTGGACTATATCAAAGGACCAGATCATGCAGTTTGTTCAAGATTTTCACAGAGGGAAAAAATGGGAAAAATGAGTGAATCATTCCTTTATTACTTTAATTCCCAAGAAGGTGAATCCTCAAGGAATTGAGGATTTCATACCTATTAGTCTTGTTGGCAGTCTTTATAAGATCATTTCTAAAGTACTCTCCAAAAGACTTGTCTCTGTTATTAATGGTTTAGTAAGCCCTTCACAGTTCGCATTTATTCCGGGTAGACAATTGCTAGATTGTGCTCTTTTGGCAAATGAAGGCATTGAATATTGGAGAAAACTAGGGAGAAAAGGAGTTGTCTTTAAAGCTGATTTCCGTAGGGCCTATGATTCAGTTGAGTGGCCTATCTTATTCAGAATTTTGAAGGTTATGGGTTTTGGGGAAAAATGGATCTCATGGATTAAATGTTGTGTTTCTTCTGCCTCTATTTCGGTGTTAGTTAATGGTTCACCTACTGAGGAATTCAATATTAGCAAAGGGCTAAGACAAGGGTGCAGTCTATCCCCTCTCCTGTTCAATTTAGTGGGGGAATTATTAAATCTTATGTTGATTAAGGCTGTTAATATAGGTCTGTTTCAAGGGTTTAGTATTGGAAGGGTTGGTAATTCCTTTCAGTTGTCACACCTACAGTTTGCAGATGATTTAATCTTTTTTTTGCAGAGATACTCCAATGCAAATTCTAAATATTAGGAGAGTATTGAGGGTTTTCGGTGTTATGTCTGGGTTACACTTAAACTTGTCTAAGTGTTCATTATTTGGGGTTAATATGGAAGCTGACAGAGTTAAAGATTGGGCTATGAAAGCGAGCTGTGGAGTGGGGTCTTTTCCAATGTCTTATCTTGGTTTACCGATTGGAACTAGGAAAAATTCAGAGGGTATGTGGGAACCGGTTGTCCAGAATTTTAATAAGAGATTAGCTAGGTGGAAAGCTAAATCGCTGTCGCTGGCGGGCAGACTTGTTTTGGTTAAATCTGTATTATCATCCTTGCCAATCTTTTTTCTATCTATTTTCAAGATCCCTCTAAAAGTGACTCAGAAGTTGAACTCGTTGATGGCTAACTTCCTTTGGGGTGAAGATCTTGATAAAAAACGAATTCACTGGGTGAATTGGAAATCGGTTAGTAAACCAATCGAAGAGGGTGGTCTGGGAATTCTTGACTTAAGGTTGATTAATAGGGTCCTACTTGGGAAATGGGTTTGGAAATTTGCTAATGAAAAATATAGTGTGTGGAAGAATATGATTTGTTGCAAAAACAACGTTAGCAGTATGTCTCTTTCAATTTCAAATGCGGCTTCACCTTTAGACTCTTGGATATGGAGAGGTATCCTCAGTAACTATGCTAAGAATGATCAGATTGGTGATTGTTTGAGACAGAATTCAAAGATGAATTTGGGAAATGGTCGGTCGATTGCTTTTTGGAGTGATGTTTGGATTACTAATCTGCCTTTAAAAAACCATTTCCCCAGAATATTTGCTTTGTCGACGAATAAATGGGGGATGGTTTCTGAGTTTGGGGAGTATGAAGATGATGTCTGGGTTTGGAACATTCAACTTAGAAGAAATTTGTGTGATTGGGAATTGGACCAGTGGATTGCTTTAATGTCATTGATCGACAAAATTTCGCTGGAACGATCTGTGGATGACTTCATGGGATGGTTAGGAAAGGGGGATGACATGTTTTCGGTCAAATCCTGTAGACAGTCGTTACAAGGTAGGTCGGAAGAGAGTTATGAGTGGAAGAAGTGGGTTTGGGATGGATTGGCACCTCCTAGAGTAAAAACTTTTCTATGGCAGATCTGTCATCAAAAATTAGCAGTTAGAGTGGAATTGAAGAAAAGAGGGATTCAGATTTCGGATGTTTTGTGTCCATTATGTCTTTCTCAGGATGAGTCTATTGCACACCTATTCCTATCGTGCACTGTTGCCTCGGATTTGTAGAGCAAATTCCTAAGGTTATGGAATATCTCTTCGATGTTGCCTCAAGACCCTTCTGCTATTCTGTGCTCGTGGTCGAACCTATGTCATAATTCACTTATTTGGAGGTTTATTCCGGCTGTCATCTTCTGGTCTATTTGGAAGGCAAGAAATTTGATTGTTTTTGAAAACGGCAAGTGTGACTCTAATGTTCTGTTCTTTATCACTAAATTTAGATTGGCGAAATGGTTCTTAGCTAAATACCCTGGGGTTCGGATTCAGACCGACCTTCTAATAGGGGATCCTACGCGGGCTGATAAACTCCTCCATAGTACGATTACTAAGAAGGTTATTGGTTGGACTCCACCATCGGATATGTTCAAACTTAATGTTGATGGGGCAGTGACTGGAGATGGGATGCAGGGTGGTATTGGTGGTGTTTTGAGAGACTCCTTTAGTTTCTCTTTAACTAATTTTTCTTCTGCAGTAGGGCCGGGTCTCCCTATAGTGACTGAACTGAAAGCTATTAAGAATGGATTGGTTTTTTTCTTTTCTTCCAATTGGGCTAACAAGGGTAGACTTATTTTGGAAAGTGATAGCAAATGTGCAGTGGAATGGATTTTAAAGCTACAACCTGCTCCTACTTTCTTCAGTGATTTGGTGGAGGAAATTGGAGTTCTTGTTACTGCTAAGGGCGTCGTTCTTAGATGGGTTCCTAGGAGTTGCAATATGGAGGCCGACAGGTTAGTTAAGCAGGGGATCGGTTGAGTGTTGCAGGCTTTCTGTTGTGTCTGATGACCTAGCTGAGGATGGGTTAGGCTAAGGGGTCTTTGTTTCCCAACGCTATTTGTATTAATGTCCTGTTTTATTATCGAGGGTTAGAGTGTTATGTATATCTTATGCTATTCAGGGCTAGAATGTATTATGTATCTTATGTAATTCTGGTCTATTAATAAATTGAGATACTCTTTTCCCCCTCAATTAGTTGCCACTTTTCAAGAGTCAACTATGAGGGAGGTTTTTAATGATTCCTATAAAAAAAAAAGCCATCTAATTATGAAGCAAAATTCAATCAATCAATATCTATCTATACATATGAAGCAACGAAATTGCAAGATGAAAATCAGAGATCCTAATCGCAAGTTAGAAACCCGTAACTCAAAAAGGCAATCTTTTGCCCTACAAAGTTCAAACCATAAAACTAACCAACACCCAAGTACATATTCAATCTATACCACTAAAGCACCGATCAAAGCATAATAAGAGCACCCATTTAAGCTTCTCAAAACTGGATTCAATTAAAAATAAAAGAAAAAGAAGTCCGGGCTTTGGAGCGAACCTTGATTGACGCAGGGTAAGGAGGCAAAGGGTCAGGAGCAATGATATCTTGAGCCAAAACTTTCCCGAGAGCTTGGTGAAGTGGGACGGTGACAGGTGGCAGTTTCTGGGCAACGCTGAGAACAATCTGAAGTGCTTCATCGACTGGTATCATCTTCTGATGGGCGCTAACGCAGGTAACGCTGCCGCTCTCCGTCATTCCCAACGTCTTCAGTGTATATCAAGTCTTCGAGTTCGAATGTTCGATCAGAGAGAAAAGAAGCGAGGACCTGTGGACTGGGATTTTCGCTTTTGCTGTTAAGCACAGGCGGCTGATTGGATGGATAACAAGAGTTGAGATGGGTTGTTTGGGTGCGTGCGTAAGATGTGACGCTAATCTAATTTTATCTTCGTTCTTCATCTTCGATAGCGAATATAAAGTTGAAATCCTACAGCCTTGTGTCCAAGTTCAAGCAATCAAATCATCAATTTCTCTTTATATTTTGTAAGGATGAATTTTAATTATATTTCTATAAATACACTAATTACATATATAATTATATTTAGGGTAAAATACACAGGTGTTCATTAATGTTTGACTAAATTTTCTTTTTTCCCATTGAAATTTTAAAAATAACAAATTGATTACTAACGTTATAGATTTATAACAAATCAATCACTCATCCTTAACTGCCTTAACATAATGATGACGTGGTACGTTAGTTGACTTATGTGACACTATTTGACCATACATGTTGACTTATCTTGATAACCTGATCACTTTTTTCGTATTTTCATAACAACCAAACAATCATTTTCTTCCCTAAACTAATTCAAACAAATATCTTAACAGGTGATTTTATGCAATTCCTCTATTCTTTTGGGAAGTAATAAACTCATCTATGTTAATAAATATAGTCTTAATAAATCCACCATCATTGTTCTCGATTCCATATATAACAGATAGTAGAATACCAGAGGAAATGAAAGTGATAAAGAAGGCTCTCCTACTCCTCCGCTTCTGGTATTTCTGAAGGATTCTAGTAGCCTCATCATTTTTGGTGCATTTTGTTGAAAAGTCAAGCTAGGTGGTGCACATAGCACCGAAAGTGCACAATTAATGGCATCGAAAATTAGCTAGCATTTGTTGAATTTTTTGGAAAATGGTAAAATCATTTTTAGTCACTAAAATTTAGGGTATTTACAAATTAGTCCTTAAGCTTCAACTATAAATACCCTAGCTCATTTAGCTTCAAAACCATCCCAAAGCATTCTAGCTTTCTTCTAATACTAGAGAGAATTTAGAGAGTTTCTTGAGAGTTGTTTTCTCCTTTTTATCAAGAGAGAATTATCATTGTTTTTCTCCTTGGTCGATTGAGAGAAGTTGTAATTCCTATTTTCTCATAGTGAAATTCTTCTACCGTTGCCCGTGGTTTTTACCCTATATTATTCAGGAGTTTTCCACGTAAAATTTGTGTCTTCTTTATCTTCATTTTTATTTTGTCAAATTATCAGTTGTGATTTTGCTCAATCTGATAGTCGTCTTCCGCAACAATTGGTATCATAGCCAGATTAGAGTGTGTAATATATCTACTTATTGTCTTTGTGGTTGCCACCAAAAGGTGGATCCTCTAACATAAGAAAGTAAGAAGTTATTATCCATTCTTTAAAGGTTCTAGAGAACTATTCACGATAGTGAAATAGTGGGAGCTATCCGTAAAAGAAGTTATGGCAACGAAATTTGATATTGAACAATTCAATGAGAGAAATTTCTCATTGTGGAAATTGAAGATGAAGGCCATCCTGAGGAAATACGGTTGTCTAACAGCTATCAGTGAAAGGCCGGTGGATTTCACATATGACAACAAATTGATCGAAATGGACGGGAATGTTATGGCAAACTTTCATCTAGCATTAGCAGATGAAGTATTGTCAAGCATCGAGGAGAAGAAGACAGCTAAGGAGATATGGGATCATCTCACCAAATTGTACGAGGCCACATTGTTGCACAATAAAATTTTCCTTAAGAGGAAATTGTACACTCTCCGGATGCCAGAATCTACTTCAGTGACGGAGCACTTAAACACACTGAACACGTTATTTTTCTCAGCTTACATCCTTAAGATGTACAATAGGAGAACAAGAACGTGCTGAACTTCTACTTCAAAGTCTACCTGATTCGTATGATCAACTCATCATCAACTTGACAAATAGTAATGTCACCAGTCTAGTCTTCGATGACGTTACAGCTACTGTTCTAGAAGAAGAAAATCGGCGCAAGAACAAGGAAAACAGACAAGTAAATTTGCAACAAGCAGAAGCTTTGACAACAATGAGAGGGAGATCAACAGAACGTGGCCAAAGTAGCAGTCACAATCATGGTAGATCGAAGTCGAGGAGCAAGAAGAATTTAAAGTGCTACAATTGTGGAAAGAAGGGTCACTTGAAGAAGGATTGTTGGAGCTAAATAAAAACTCCAATCCACAAGGCAATACCACAAACACTTCAGATGATGGAGATGTTCTATGTTGTGAAGCGTCAACCACCGTGGAAGGTAGAAAGAGATATGCAGATATATGGCTCATTGATTCGGGAGCAACATATCACATGACCTCAAGAAGAGAATGGTTCTATCATTATGAACCTGTCTCAGGAGGATTTGTATATAGTTGCAATGATCATGCCTTAAAGATCGTTAGCGTGGAAACCATCAAATTGAAGATGTATGATGGAACAATTAAAGTTGTTCGAGATGTGCGGCACGTGAAAAGCCTAAAGAAAAATTTATTATCCTACGGATTATTGGATAATAATGCAAGCAAGATTGAAACACGGAAATGAATCATGAAGGTGTTCCGTGGAGCGTTTGTAGTGCTGAAAGGTGAAAAGATAGCAGCAAACTTGTACATGCTGAAGGGATAGACTTTGCTAGAAGAAGAAGCCTCTGTTGCCTCATGCAGTTCAGATTCTGCAATGCTATGGCATCAAAAACTTGGACACATGTCAGAACAAGGAATAAAAGTCCTTGTGGAGCAAAAGCTACTTTCAGGCTTAACGAATGTATCACTTACTTTGTGTGAGCATTGCCTAACAAGTAAGCAGCACCAGTTGAAATTCAATACATCAAATTCTAGAGGCAAAAGTGTCCTAGAATTGGTTCACTCTGACGTATGGCAAGCACCAATTGCATCCCTAGGCGGAGCAAAATACTTTGTCTCATTTATTGATGAATACTCCAGGAGATGTTGGGTGTACCCTATTAAGAAGAAGTCAGATGTGTTTTCAACTTTCAAAAACTTCAAGGCGCAGGTGGAACTTGATTCTGGAAATAAGATCAAGTGTTTTAGAACAGATAATGGAGGAGAATACACAAGCGAAGAATTGAATGACTTTTGCAGGAAAAAAGGCATCAAAAGACAATTCACAGTGGCGAACACTCCTCAACAAAATTGAGTGACAGAGCGGATGAACAGAACCTTGTTAGAAAGAACAAGAGCAATGTTGAGGGATGCAGGCCTAAAAAAATCATTCTGGACAGAAGCAGTCAATACTGCCTGTTATTTGGTGAATCGAGCTCCATCAATTGCAATAGAGCTGAAGACACCAATGGAGATGTGGACTGGTAAACCAGCTGATTATTCAAACATTCATGTATTTGGAAGTATTGTGTACGTGATGTACAACTCCCAAGAAATTTCAAAGTTGGATCAAAAATCCAGGAAATGCAAATTCTTGGGGTATGCTGATAGAGTAAAGGGGTATCGCTTGTGGGATCCCACTGCCCGCAAAGTGATCATCAGCAGAGATGTTGTCTTTGTAGAAGATAAACTACAAAGAAAAGAAGACGATGATAGCGCTGAAAAGTCAGAGACTACTCAGATATATGTGGAAAAAGAGTTTGAACAAGGAGATTCTTCTGAAGCAGAACCAACACATGATGAACAAGAACCAGAGAGTTCTGAAGCTCCAACAACTCGTCAATCAGATCGTGTGAGAATACGTCCCAATTGGCACTCAGATTATGTTATAAAAGGTAATATTGCATACTGCCTTTTAATAGAGGACGGTGAGCCATCAACATACTAGGAGGCAATAAACAGCTCAGATGCTTCACTGTGGATGATGGCGATGCAATAGGAAATTAAATCCCTTCATAAAAATAATACATGGGACCTTGTGCCACTACCACAAGGAAGGAAGCCAATTGGTAACAAATGGGTCTTCAAAATCAAGCGAAATGGTGACGATCAAGTTGAGATGTATCGTGCAAGACTGGTGGTCAAAGGATATGCTCAAAAAGAAGGTATTGATTTCAATGAAATATTTTCTCCTATGGTTCGACTAACAACAGTTCGAGTAGTTTTGGCAATGTGTTCTACATTGGACTTACATCTAGAGCAACTAGATGTTAAAACAACTTTTCTTTATGGAAATCTTGAAGAAGAAATTTATATGCTCCAGCCTGAAGGTTTTGAAGAAAAAGAAAAGATGAACTTGGTTTGCAGGTTGAACAAATCTCTGTACGGTCTAAAGCAGACGACGAGGTGTTGGTATAAGAGATTTGTTTCCTTCATTATGTGCCTTGGATACAACAAACTTAATGTAGACCCTTGTGCTTATTTCAAGAGGTCTGATGATAATGATTTTGTTATATTGCTGTTGTATGTGGATGACATGTTGGTTGCAGGACCCAACAAAGATCTTATTGAAGAATTGAAGGCACGACTGACTAGGGAATTTGAAATGAAGGACTTGGGATCAGAAAAAAAGATTTTAGGGATGCAAATTCACCGAGACAGAAGTAATAGGAAGATTTGGCTTTCACAAAAGAATTACTTGAAGAAGATCTTGTTACGATTCAACATGCAAGATTGTAAGCCAATTTCTACCCCTCTTCCTATTAACTTCAAATTATCCTCCAGTATGAGTCCTAGCAGTGAAGAAGAGAGGATGAAGATGTCTCGAGTACCGTATGCATCAGCAGTGAGAAATTTAATGTTCGCTATGATATGCACAAGACCAGACATTGCACAAGCAGTGGTAGTGGTTAGTCGATACATGGCGAATCCAGGAAAAGAGTATTAGAATACAGTAAAGAGGGTTTTGAGATACATCAAAAGGACCTCAAATGTTACATTATGTTACAGATGATCAAATTTACTTATCAATGGGTATGTTGATTCTGACTATGCAGAGGATTTGGATAAAAACAAATCTACTACAGGATATGTGTTCAAAATTGCTGGTGGAACTGTAAGCTGGGTTTCAAAATTACAGTCAGTTGTGGCTACGTCAACAACAGAAGCAGAATATGTAGCAGCTATACAAGCCAGTAAATAAGCAATTTGGTTGAAGATGATATTGGAG